CATCATGTCTGTCCGGATGGGAAAGGTGTTGCCCCATTCGCCCTCTCCTCTCTGGAAAGAAAGATGGCGGCTGCATGGTAGCCTAGTGGACAGCAAGTATGAGCCGGGGGTGTGAGGGTAACTAAAACCTCATGGGAAGGTGGGCCTTCCGGTCCGTCCTTCACGCCCTACTGAGGCCACCAGTTGCCCCCCACAAGCGGCTCTCCAGCATGGCCACAGCCCCAGAAGCACAAGGACTTAATGCAGAACCCGGCAGCTTGGAGCAGAAAAGTGAACGGACTATGCGTTAATCCAGGCCATCAAGTCTGCCGGAGGGGAAAGGGTGTTGCCCCATTTGCCCTCTCCTCTCTGGAAAGAAAGGTGGCGGCCACATGGGAGCCTTGTGGACAGCAGGTATGAGCCGGGGGTGAGGGGGCGACTAAAACCTCATGGGAAGGGGGGCGTTCCGGTCCGTCCTTCACGCCCTACCGAGGTCACCAGTTGCCCCCCACGAGCGGCTCTCCAGCACGGCCACAGCCCCAGAAGCACAAGGGCTTAATGCAGAACCCAGCAGCTTGGAGCAGAAAAGTGAAAGGACTATGCGTTAATCCAGGCAATCATGTCTGCCCAGAGGGGAAAGGGTGTTGCTCCCTTCTGCCCTCCTCCCTCTGGAAAGAAAGATGGCGGCCACATGGGAGCCTTGTTGACAGCAGGTATGAGCTGGGGGTGTGAGGGCGACTAAAACCTCATGGGTCGGGGGGGGGTTCCGGTCTGTCCTTCATGCCCTACCAAGGTTACCAGTCGCCCCCCGAGAGCGGCTCTCCAGCACAGCCACGGCCCCAGAAGCACAAGGACTTAATGCAGAACCCGGCAGCTTGGAGCAGAAAAGTGAACGGACTATGTGTTAATCCAGGCCATCAAGTCTGCCGGAGGGGAAAGGGTGTTGCCCCATTTGCCCTCTCTTCTCTGGAAAGAAAGATGACGGCCACATGGGAGCCTTGTGGACAGCAGGTATGAGCCGGGAGTGTGGGGGCGACTAAAACCTCATGGGAAGGGGGGCGTTTCGGTCCTCCCTTCACGCCCTACAGAGGCCACCAGTTGCCCCCCACGAGCGGCTCTCCAGCATGGCCACGACTCCAGAACACAGAAACCAATTTCTTAACTATCTGACTTTCAGTAGAAATACTTCCAGGGTCAATAGGTAAAATAACAGAAATCCAAAGCAACATTTAATTCTTGAACCCAGCTGTAGAAAGCAAATCACTTCACAATGTTTTGTCAGCATGTTTGATTCATGGGGGGGGGGGGTAAACTCTAAATAATAATGGTGAATCTTTTATTGAAACAATGAATCTAATCAAAGCAGATAGAGTGTTAACTAGAATTCATCTGCCCCACCGGGACTGGGAGGGGTGGGGGGTGGGGTTTTATTGGGGTTCTTCATGGTAAAAAATAAGTATTGGTAAAGGGAAATGTGTAATGTGTTTGATATTTGCATGACTGAGACCTAAACCTGAAAGCTTTGTAACCTTTCCCACGGTGATTCAATAAATAAAAAAAAATTTTAAAAAAAGATATACATACATATATACAAGCTGTTAGTTATTGCACTGTAGCACTGTCCTCCCATTGTTCATCAATTTGCTCGAGTGGGAATCAGTAACATCTCCATTGTGAAACTTCTTGTTACTGTTTTTGGCATATTAAATACATCACGGGTAGCTTACCAGGCTTTGCTGTGTGAACGGAAAACTCTTGGTAGCATGCTGGCCTCTCCAAGAGGGCAGAGGAATCAAACCCAGGTCAGCCGTGTGCAAGGCCAATGTCCTACCCGCTATGCTATCATTCTGGCCCCCAAGAGCACAGCAGTAGGGCGTTTGCCTTGCACGCAGCCAACATGGCCAACCAGAGTTCGATTCCTCCGCCCCTCTTGGAGAGCCCGGCAAGCTACCGAGAGTATCTCGCCCACACAGCAGAGCCTGGCAAGCTCCCCATGACGTATTCAATATGCCAAACACAGTAACAACAAAGTCTCCAATGGAGACATTACTGGGCCCGCTCGAGCAAATCGACGATCAACGGGTGGGCCTTTACCTTTACCTTTACCTTTACCTTTAGAAGGTATATATTTTTATATGAATGCATTCACTTAGAAGTGTATCATAGTTTCAAGTGGACTGAGTAAATTGTGCTGGTGACATTATTTAAGAAAGGTCTAAATTGGCTCTAAAACCTGTGTAAGTTCTGATAGCCCATGTTTTCTGGAAAGAGCACAAAATTTTATTTTATCTTAATTTTATCAACTACACATTATGTAGTATAAATTGGCTACCAAAGTACAACTAGGGATACTGTTTTAAGGAGTCAGAAGTATAATACAGAGGGTACAGCTCTTGCCTTTCATGTAGCAAACTCTGGTTTGCTCTCCAACATCTTATATTTTTCCCTGAGCCCTGCCAGGAGTGACCCCTGAGTGTAGAGTCAGGAATAAGCCTTGAGCATGACTGGCTAGCTGTGCCTGAGGGTCCCCACCACAACACATACCCAAATGAGATTGCTTTCTAGCATTTTTGGCTTTGAGTCTGTGTTTATCATGAACATTAAGATATGTCTCTTGTAAGCAGAACATTGTGTTCAGTTTTCTGATTCATTTTACCACTCTATGTATCTGGATTGGTGAGTTCAGGCCACTGGCATTTTGAATATTTTTTTTATTTTTAAAGATGAACTTTGAATATTTCCTGCTAAATTAGTTTCAGGATAATGAACTTTTCATGTCTTGTACATGGAGTTTTGTCTCATTCTTCAAATCTGAAGGATAATATAAATAAAATATTCTCAGTAAGGTGCTCATTCTGTTGAATTTTTCTTGATGGTAGCTTTGTTTACTTTTTATTTTTTTTTCAGACTCTATCTCCCCATTCTCTTCTGACCTGTAGAGTCTCATTTGGTAGCCTGCTGTAACTCTTATGGGAGATCCCTCATATTGAAGTTCCTTCTTTCTTTTTTTTTCTTCTTTCAATATCTGTCTCTAGCTTCAGCTTTTGTCATTCTGATTACAGTATGTCTTGAGTTTTTCTATTTGGGTTTATTTAGACTGAATTCCTTTGAGCTTCTTTAAACTAGATGAACACATTTCTCAACTCAGAGAAATTCTTAGTTATGATTTCTTGGATTAATAGTTCTTCACTCTGACTTTCCTATTCCAGAGGAAGTCCTATGACTCTTATATTATTATATTCTCTTGAACTCATCCAGGACTTCTCTGATGTGCTTTTTGTTTATTATTCATTTATTTTCAGACCTTTATCATCCGTTTTCCCCTCAACTGCTTACGTTTTGCAATTGAGACCTTCCCTTGAGGTTATTTGTGTTTGGTTGGGTTGTTTGTTTTTAGACCACACTCAGCACTGTTCAGAGCTTACTCCTGATTCTCTACTTACAGATCACTCATGGCAGTGGCTGGTGGACCCTGCATAGTGCCAGGCTAGAGCCTGAATAGGTCATGTGCAAGGTAAGCACCATAGCCACTGTACAATCTCTCCAGTCCCATTTAAACTATTTGAATCCTTTTTTCTGGAAACCTTTTTGTGTTGTCAAAGCAAATTATGTCTGCAACTCTATTAAAGTTATTTTTTAAGTTAGTTTTTACAGATGCATATTTTTCTTTTCAAACATTAACAGGAAAAAATACTAATGTTTATTTAAAATTCTGAGTGTTTATATAGCCATTTTTAAAATACTAGGTTATTTAGAGGCCACTGATTAACACTAATGGACAAAATGATTCTAAAATCACTATTATATTTTATAACCCTTTACATAATTTTAAGTACTCTAAGAAATGTACATTCTCTAATAAATTTATATATTTTTAAGTATCATTATAACATTTTCAGAATTAGAAAAACTTAGTCCCTCATGTAAAAATACTTTAGATGAAATTAACAGTATGTTGTCAAAATGCAGATTTAGAGTCTAAATCTTGGCTAACTTGATTTTCTTATTAGTATGGGGAAACTCTAGTACAAGATATGTTTTCCTAAGGAACTTGGATCACCCACTTATCTAATATTATCACTAAAAATTGCTAAAAACAAAACAGAATAAAATGTATGTGTTTCTTTAATTATAACTGATACCATATGCTCAGCTCAGTAGCATGGGACTTAAAACTTTGTTTTCACACATATGAGGGCAGTAGGGGAAGGGGACCTTATTCTGCAGTGCTCAGGGACTACTCCTGTAACTGTGCTCAGGAGTGGCCTTTGGAAGTGCTGGGAAAATTATCTATGCTTCCAGGGCTTTAAAGCAGATTAGTGGAGTGTAAGACAAATGTCTTAACTCCTGTACTATCCTTCTAGGCCTTTATTTTAGTATATTTCTGATAGTCAACTGGAGGCATATAAAGAAACTATCTGAGTCATTTTATCAGGTTGAATTAAGAGATATCTCTGGGCCTATCAGGTTGAATTAAGAGATATCTCTACAATATCATATAGATTATTCTCCAAAATATGTTTTTTTAAAATTTCATCTGCTTTTTGGTTTAATATTTATTAACAATTATCACTTTTAATAATCTCCTTATTATGCTATAATTTAATTTTTTAATTGTGAATTGATTAAGGAGACATTTTGCCAGAGTATTTCTCCCTTTCATTAAAAACTTCTCAGCTGCAATTATTTTGGACTCAATTGATAATGTGGAAATAAATATTAATTGTAGAAATTTGCACTTGTAATCACCCTGCTAATGCTAATTATATTATGAAAGCTATATATGTGATAAATTTCATTGCAATTAAATATAGCAGAGAACCAATAGTCAGCAATTTCCTTGAGGATATTATTTCATTATGATCAAAGTCATGATCATTATCTCTTCAAAATACATTGTTGTCTACTAATTAATATAGCAGCTTTTCAATTTATAAGCAGATATTATATGTTTTCTTATCTTTTGACCTTCAGAGTAACCATGTGGGATTGAGTCAGAAGCCATCACCTTTATTTTTCCCAGGGCAAGAACACAAACACTGTTCCACACTATCACAAATTATGCAGTCAAGTTTCCCACATTTGGGAAAATCACATGGATCAGCACATCCAACGTGCAATGGATAAACCTTGCCCTGCGAAAACCACCTTTGTGATCATAGTATTACCCTGGTTAGGTAAAGTATCACGATTTTTAACACTTGAGAAACTGAGACTCAAAGAGGTTGAGTGATTTATATTTGAGGATACAGACAACAGAACCAGAAAGAGAGTCAGAGCTTGTCTAATGATAATTGCACTGCTGAGCACTTGACACATATTGTCAAGACAAAAATTTTCACAGGAGGAAATGTATTTGTTCAAGATTATGTGGATCACATGTAGCATAACTATGTGTAAATTTGGAATGGATAATGTTGTACAGATTCTCTTTCCATTATATTACACAGTTCTAACTTTGAAGTAAATGTGCCCAGTTAAAGAAACTGTTGACTTTCCTTAAAAAAGCATCATATGAGTATTAGTTAGGGACAGAATCCTGGAATTAACAGATTGTTTTATTCACTATTGCTACACATTTTTAAAGTTAAAAACATAGTTATAAATAAGGCAAAATAGCTGCAGGCAATAAAATGTATTAAATTTTTGACCAAAGTACAGACATAGGGTGCACTATCATTATTGCATGAGTGACTCTTAACACATTCAGATTTGTTTACTGCTGCATTACTGTAGCCATGAAAGTCTTGTTCTACTACTGCTCAAAAGGATAATCAATTAAGAAGGAAGATGATGAGTAGAAAAAGTAGTAATAAATCAGAAGTTGAAAGGTGGAGGACTCATGACCTAGAAAACCAGTTTGTCTTTAAGCACACAAAAATAATTTTTATCTTGGAAAAAAGCTGGAAAGTGGAGACAACAATACCCTGGGTGACTTATGTGAAACAGAGGAGAGAGTCGGCCACTTTTTTCCAATCCACCTCTGACACCCCGGGACCTCTTGGGAAGTCTAGGATTGATAAACTATTCTATGAACCCCTGCACAGCATGGACAAGAGTCCCACCGGCCCAAGTAGATAGCTGTGAAACCACACCTGACATCCATCCACTTGTCCTTCTTGGCTCTGGAGTTAATTCCCATCATCTGATTTCTCAAGCAGCTCTGGACTCAGGGTGGAGTGAGGAATTGCTCTTCACAGGCAAGGAAAGCAAGTTCTAGGCCTTACTCGGACTTTCTGTGTCCTTATTCTCACAGAAAAGAAGTTCGCTAGAAGATGAACAATGAAATTAAAATATACTTAGAGTGTGAGCTTCTTCAAAACATGAAGAGAGCCCTAGTACATATCTCAAGAGGAGAGATGCAGGCAACACATGTGCATGTGGACACGTGGACACAAGCAGCACACTGGCTGGGGAAGCATATGCATGTACTTGAGTCCAAATTCAAGTTGGATTTTAAAGGTTTCTCCAAGCTGTCTCATACAGGCCTTTCTACATAGATAAGAGTCTAGGGAGAGTCAAGCTAAGGTGGTTGACGAAGGGATAGATTTGGAATGTCTTTTTGAAACTCCTTTTCTTGACCTTTGTTTCTTCTGGAGCTTCCATGGAGGATGGTCCTGACAGACTTAGAGCTAAGTAGTTACAACTTTCCAGGAATCCATTGCCACAGGAACCCTTCTCTAATCTACCAGCAGGGCATATGGCAGATCAATGGGAAACAAGGACAAAAATGTTTCTAGTAGGATGGTTTTCTGAGACAAATTCCAGTGTTTTTTTTTATTATTATTGTTGTTAATCTAAAGAATTATTCCTGATTAAGGATTCAGCCTGAGCCTTTTTCTTATAATAGGCTTGAGAGAAGGACAATATTAAAAAATTTTAAAAAATTGGTACATAATATAGATAATATACATAATATAGGTAATTATATATGTTCATATATATCAAAAACTTTTCATTCTCAACAATTTATGTCATAAACAGTTTGCTGGTTTGTTTGTTTTTTTTTAATTTTAACTTTTGAATTTAACTTTTTAATTTCTTTTGAGCAGACTTCATTATCAATAAAAAATAGATTATTCTGAGAAATTGTCTTTAAAGGAAAAACTAGTCCGTATGAATCAAAGATGGTTATAGATTATCATTTCAGAAAAACGTATGATTTACATGGGACTAAAGAAAAATTTTACAGTGATATATTTATAAGTCTCCTGCCCCCGCGCCTGGCTGTCCTCGCCAGGGCCCCTTGGAGGGGGGAGGGTTTAGTTTCCCTCCCCACCCCGAGCAGAGACCTGGCAGGCGAAGACCTCCAGAACCAGCCACAACCATGCTGAGACCACTCTACACACGCATGAAGTTACTGGCAGAGGAACAAAGGCATGCGGGTCCCAGGGCTGAGATCTCCAAGCCTGCTCAGATCAGGGCTGAGCATCCTCCACCCAGATCCTCCATCTTCCTCCACCCAGATCCTCCATCTTCCAATAGGTGTGGGTCACACCCAACAACTGCCCCCCAGCACCGTGTGATCCCATCAACGGCCAAGACCCAGAGACTATAAAACCCAGCTCCTAGAAGCGTGCGGCCACATAAGACATCTTATTATCTCATTCTTGCTTTGGACAACCTGGCAGGTTACCGATTGTAAACTGCCCACACGGCAGAGTCTGGCAAACTTCTCATAGCGTACCTAATATGCCAAATGCCAGTAACAATGATGGGTCTCATTCTCCTAACCCTGAAAGAGCCTTGAATGTGGCACTTTTTAGAATCTCAGGGCTAGGACGAAGGAGACGTTACTGGTGCCTGCTAGAGGCAATCGACAAACAATAGGATGATTGTGATGTTTATAAGAATCCTAGAGAATGGATAAATTAAAAATTATCATACTCTCTGATCTGACAGAATAGAAAAATACAAGTTTGCTTTTGCAGTTCATAGCAACTTCAGACTTGGGAGATAAGTCATTATTAAATGTTTCTCAGATTTTTTAACATACTTTTTATACCTAAGATAATAAAATAATGATTTTTAAATATTACTTCACATTCTTCACCTTTTCACCTCTTCCATCTGAAGAGATTGAGTTATCATTAAAAAAATTGCAAGTGGTGGCCATAAAAATTGATTCAGCATATAGGAAGCTATATTAAAAAAGTTCTTGATGAGGTAAATAATATATATAATTATATATGTTTATACATGTGTGTGCATGTGAGTTTTTGTGTATGCGTGTGTTACCAAATATGTATTTTTTCATTTTCACTTTCAATAGTGTTTCTACCACATTTTCTTTTGCTCTTTTTCCCTTCAGGCCTTACCCCAGTTTATATCTGCTAAGTTCTCATGCCACCTTTTAGACTATTTTACATGATTATTTGCTCTATATGCTTTGGTTTGTTCCTGTTTCTGTATGGAGTTGCTTAGTAATCTATAGTGCTCAAATTGTTGGTGAATTATTAGAGAATTTACAATTTGTCACTGTTCACACAGAGTTATGCATCCAGAAATTTAAAGGCAATTTTTAATAATTATTTGGACAATGTGTTTTTATATATATGTGTATGTGTATATGCTAGCAACTGGTTTTAATAATTGTTAAAGACTTGTGACAATATAATGATGGGATGAAATAATAAAGGATTGTTATTTTCTAATTGCATTCATTATAGTTTATAATAAAATTCTAACTCATTTCACTAATCCTGCAGGTATTCTATACTATATTATAGTACTCTTGGGAAAATTTAGTGTGTTAGAGGCTGGAGTGATAGTACAGCAGGTAGGGCATTTGCCTTGGATGCGGCCGACTTGGGTTCGATTCCCAGTATCCCATATGGTCCCCTGAGCACCACCAGGTGTAATTCCTGAGTGCATGAGCCAGGAGTAACCCCTGTGTATCGCCAGATGTTTTCCAAAAAGAAAAATAAGAAAGAAAAGAAAATTTAGTGTGTTAACAGGTAGCAAATAGCATATGCAGTCAGAATATCAACAGGTTTAATTGGTTTGCTCAGTGAAACTTTTTAAATGTAAAATATTGATGTGCATTTTAAGCCATGTGATTCAGGAACAATCTTTAGAAAATTCAGATGTTAAATCATTTGTAAATGTAGTGAATAAAGAAGCACAGATTTCTGTAATTAACAAACATTTATCAGTACATCAGCTATAGCATACTATCAATGTGTTTTCATTTAAACATTGATATTGCTAGACTTTTATTTAGAACTAATGTTAGTAAGGAAGAAACTTAGCTGATACGTAAATATTGAACTTAAAGTTTCACTATGATATTTATAGAACTTTTTCTATTCTTTATTAAATATTCCTCCAAACAAAAGAGGAAAACCAACATTGTGATTTTAAGGATGACATAAAACTTCTACAGTCTTTCTCTCAGATACACATACACACATGGCCCATATTGTTTTATTATTGTTATTCCGTAATAACAAATATTTAATAATAAATCAAAGATGAAAAGGTATATTTTTATTTTAATTTTACAATTTTTGTATATTTCATTTTCATAGAATAGTTCATAATACTTCATTAACGATAATATTCTAATACCAAACCCACCACCAAGCACCTTCCAACCACAATAAGAGGGAAGTGTGTGAAGGTTGTTGTATTTCATTGTGGAGTCATTTAAGCCTGTATATAAGAGAATATAAGAAAGTATGTTAAAATCAAAAAAACATGTGCTATTTTCGGTACAAAAGTGGCTTAGAATATAAGAGGTAAAGCGGCCAAGCTACTGGAAAACTGGGGAGTTGGGAGGAGGAGGCCCAGTCCCTACCCGAGCAGGCTTGGAGATCTCAGTCATGGGTCCCATATACCTGGGTTTTTCTCTCGATTCCCACTTGGGTGAGGCTCCTCTGAGCATGTGGAGGATGGCCTTGAGTATGGCAGCGGTTGGGTTCTGGAGGTTTTTGACTGCAGGGGTTCTGCTTGGGGTGCAGAGGGAACTTCAACCCACCCCCTTCTTAGGTGACTTGGTGAAGACAGCCTGGCACAGGATCAGGATATTCTGCTGGCTATAATTTTATTTAAAGTATACTTTACTTAGGAAGAAAATGTTCTCTCTCTGCAAGATAAAAAAACAGATAACTGTTGATTTTAAAAATGACTGTTATGACACTCTTTAAAATTGTGGAATTTTGTTTTCCATTATCCATTATCATGG